ATCGCTCTTTAGCAGAAATACAACTCCCAACTCAAGTGGTGCCCCCTTTCCCTAGCTCTCCCTCTCCTTCCCCACTCCTTGAGGTGAAATGAACTGCTCTGTCATCTGTCTTAGAGAACATACACTTCCTCACTAGCTGCCCAAAGAAGCCTGGGCATTCTCAGAAGAGAAAGGAAGAGGGAGGGGTCTAGCTCACCTTCCTCACTGGCCTCCTCCTCCTCTTCTTCTGTTGAATCGTCAGAGATGATTTGGACCTCCTCCTCATAGACATCCTGGTTGGTGTTGTTATCCAGAGTCTTATCAAAGACTTCAAAGCCATTCTTATAGTATTTAATGTCCCTGTCATCATCATCACTACCCTCATTGTCACCCTCATTGCCATCATCATCACTGCCCTCACTGTCACCTTCATTGCCATCATTATCTTCATCATCACTGCCCTCATCTCCATTGTCACTATCACTGATCTCTTGGATAGTATTACCCTGCTGATTGTCACCTTCTAGGTTTTCATTGTCGCCATCAGCTTTCTCATTATTGGAATCCTCACTGTCATAGGTGTTCTCTTCTTCTGGGCTCTCACTGCTGTCATCTGGACTTGCAGCAATGCTCTCTCTGTTGTCAGTGATCTTATTGTTGGGGCCCTCATTAAAGTCAGGGTTCTCGCTGTCACACAGGGTCTCATTGACGTCAGTTACCTCATTATCAGTGGTCTCAAAGTAGTCGGTGGTCTCCATGAAGTCAGAGATCTTGATGTCATGAATGGTCTCATTGTCAGTGATCTCATCAATTTCTGAGATTTCACTGAGAATGTCTTCAATGGCATAAGGGTCATGAATATCTTCCATGATCACCATTTCGTATTCATTCTTGGCTTTACTGTGGGAAAGTTTGAAGCTGAGTATAAGGTTAATGGGAGAAACTGGGAAGGCAGTAGGGTACTAGGGCTTCTAAGAATGGGGGAAAGGCCCATTGCCACCCCTGACTATGTAACCTCAGGCCATGTCTGGCCATCACTGTTCACCTGTAAACACTGCATTAGATTATCTCAATTGTCCCTTATGCCTCTGTAAATCCTGTATCTCTTGACCTATTTAAAACAAAACAAAAGCCCTCCAGGCACCAATTCTTGAATCACCTTTCCCTTCTTATTTGCTTCCTTCTGTTTGTCCTGTAGCCACTTCCTCTCATGTAGTAGCGTACCGGGTTAACCCATAGGTCATTCTTGATCATCTGTTGAGGGGGGGGGGGGGGAGAAAGAGAGAGGAGAGCTATGAATGAGTTTAAGCTTTAGAACCCACTTGCAATTTCTCAGACACCCAGAGGCAAGTCTGGCAAGGCTTTCCTTGGCAATGCCAGGAGGGGCTCACCTCAGCAATTCTGTCAGCTTCTGGGAGGCTGTGGTTGGAAAACCAGTTGAAGAAGCTTTGTCTGGTGTCATGGCTCCTGTGAGTATGGGCCTGGGGTTCTTGGCCCCGGTGCCAACGTATCGGGGTAGAATGAGACACCAACCGGCCTAGAAAAAGAGGAAGAGGTGCAGAAGAGACTGGAGGCGATAATATGGGGGGGGGGGCCCAGATTTATTCTGGGCCTGCCACTTACCTGAGCGGTTGCGCTGGAACTCCTTGACGATCACCATGTTTGTAAAGTATGGGTTGGTCTGGAAGTACAGCTTCATCTTGTAGCCCATGGAGATATGTCTGAGATCCTGTACCTGCTCAGGGTGGGGGCAATGGTATGTATCCCTTCCATGGGCCTTCCCACCCACCCCCTCACCTCTAAGGATCAGATTTCCTTGGCTTTCCTCCTTGGTCTGACCTGCAGATTGGTCAAGTAGCGGAAAATGTCTTCATCACGTTGGTTGATGAAGATTGAAATTCTGGGGTGGTTGAGGAACTGATGAGTGGAGCAGTTTAGGTCAAGGATTTACTGTTCAGGGTGATGGAGGGCTGAGCAAAACAGGCCGAAGCAGGGGGGTTATTTCTATGTTCCAGTGATGTATGTGGAGTGAGAAGTGCTTATGCAATGCTAAGCCTCAGTGTTAGCTAGCCTTGCCACGGTTCACATTTGCTGCATGTTTGGATGCTAAGGCTCTATGACCATGTCCATGTGATCCTTGTCTCTTGGGGATAGGTGCTTATGTTCACAAAATGCCATGGGGCTGGGAGCTGAAAGCCTAAGTCTAAGTAATAATGTATTTGGTTATTAAGAGCCTGTATTTACATGATGTTACATGTATAGGTGTGGATGGTTACTAGCCACATGAAGTATAAACGGCTCTAGTGGTCTGTATGCTTAGGCCCTGTTGCCTCATACCTAGACATCTACATGACACCCTATGCCTGTCTACTGAGGGCCTGTGATCATGTGACACTTTGTATCATGAGCTAAGTATTTATGTCTGTATAAATTCTATTAAAATGTTGAACCTCTGTATTTTAAATATGTTACATATATATTTCCTAGGGATGAGCTCAGCAGTCACCAATAGTGGATTGGATTCTTCCTGTTCTACCTTTTCCTTCATTTAACCCTTGACTTCCACATCTAAGTGGTCTTTCTCCTGATTCTTCAGGGGGTCCATCCCATTTCTATCCTTTCCCCTCAGTGGACAGATTTGAGGTCTCTAGCTATCTAAGCAGAGACTCAGGATTACAGAGCCTTGTGTGGTTTCATCACCCTTCCTGAGGGTTATTTGCCCTTCCCCCCAACTGTCAGTTCATCACCTGTATTCCACCCCACCCCCTGCACTGTGTGTGTGTGTGTGTGTGTGTGTGTGATCCTGTTTGTCGTCTATGTGCCTTCTCTGTTACCCCTCCCTCTTCTACTGTCTGTGATCCATTTTTTAATGTTATGGTGCTACTGTTTTCCCATCTGCAGCCTAGTTTTTATGCCATTTTACCCTCTTGCCATCCCTCTTCCACTCAATCTAGAATCTTCTAATGGGGATTCATTCCCATCCCCGACCCTCCCCCACACCCCTTGTTTCTCTTCTGCACATCTCTCCTTCAGTCATGGGTCTCTGGCCCATGAATATCGATGAGAAGGATACTGCTTTGACCCAGAAGCCTGGAATATGCTGGATGATGAGGTCTCTGCGCTCCAAAAACGGTCTTCGCATCTGGATGAATTTGCGTTTGAGACGCAAGAAGGCCTTGCCCGCCTTGATGTTCACCGCCTCCAGATCCATTTGAATGCTCTCCAGGGCCTGCAGTATGCTTTCCATCCTCTGGGCACTCCTGTCTAGGCTCTCCTTCACCTTCCTCTGCTTCCTCCTCCTCCTCCTACGTCGCCGCTGCCGCCTCCTCACACTTTCCTTTTCATCCTCATCATCATCTTCCACTATGATGATGGCCTCCTCCTTCCTCTTTGGACCCACTAACATCTGGGGCCCCCACCCCCCCTAAGCTACAGGTTTCTAGGGCCTTCTCTCCAGCAAGGCTGCTGGGCTCTGCAACCTGAAAGTCAATTTCCAGGCTTCCCCCAGCGGTTTCTGATGAAGGGAGTGTTTCCATCATCCCTGTGGGAGGGGGCTCCCCGAACCCCGACTCTACTGCAGGATCCCAGCCGGGACACCCAGCACCCAGGGTGAAATACGCGCGGATCCCTCCCTCCTCGAGAATGACATAGGGCAGTGGTGGGGGCAGCGTGGGGCCCACCCCCCTCATGTCAGCCAGCACCTGTGCAGCCTCGGTTTCTTCCCGGGGTCTCGGACGCTGCTGGGGTGGAGGCAGGGGCAGTCGCAGGAGCGGCGGGGGTGGCGGGGGCGGCAGGTCGCGCTGACGGGGTTCGGAGCTGCTCAGGCGGGGGGTCTTGGCCGGAGGCCCCCTCATCCGGGCGGTCCATGGTGACCGCGCTCAAAGCTCAGGGAATTGCACTGGCTCTTCTGCTCTCAGACGAGGCCGTCGTCACACTAGAAGCGGAGCCGCCAGACCTCACGCGACCAGCTCGGCTCACCACCTCGCTCTGACGTCCCCTCCCACAGCGCCTGCCCTACTCCCCCAGCGCCAGCCGCCGAGGCCCCGCCCACTCCTTGGCAAGGCGTCTGTTCTGCCCACCATTGGCTGCAGGCCTCGGAGGTGGCGTTAGCGTTCCCTCAGCCCCTGCCTTCTCTCACGCAATCCGCTTGCCAACACTACACATCATCGTTTTCTAATTGGCTCCCTTCGCACCCACCAATCATCAGGCGGACTGCCCCCTCATTCTCGCAATGTTTTATCCAATGGGAAAAGTACCAGAGATTCGGAAGACCAAAAAACTGGACCCGGGGAGGGTGGGTGGGAGTGCGCAAGCGAGATGTGCTCAAATGAAATCAGAGAGCCTCGCTCTCGTTCTCCCCGCCCCGCTCCCCAGATCAACTACGCACTTCTTAAAATCTGTCCCTTCCTCCACCAGCTTATGCCTCTGGGGTGAGCGCTGTAGCCCCTCAGACAACACGTTGCCTTGATAAGCTAGTTATTTAGGTATCTGAGGTCTTTGGTTTGGCGGTTAGGCTGTGACATGGCTTTTTCCATCTCTGCAAAATGGCTCCAGAAACAATCACAGACGCAAAATATAACTTCTGCGTCATAAAAATTGATTGCGATTCAACCAACCTTCTAGATTTTTCTAGAACTTTAAAACAGTATCTCTCCTCTCAGCCTTTCCTAATTGAATGCTGCTATTAATTATAGCCTACGATTTTATTTTACTTTATTTTATTTTATTTGTAACCAGAGATAGCTAGCCTTTGACTAGGCATGGTGTGACTCTAGCCAAATCACTGCCCCTCTCTGAGCTTGTTTCCTTTAAATTAGGCATCCTTAAGGAGAGGAGAAATTGCCCATTGCAGCCTTGCTGTGGTAGCAGAGGGAAGGAACCTAGGAATCCATTACCAGGAGAATGGATAAAATGTGATATATGTTTTAGATGGACTGCTAGAATGAATTTGATCTATGTATAGCAACATGGCTGGCTCTCTTAAAAACAGAATGTTGAGTGTAAAAAGAAACAGAACAAGGTTTATAGTACAATACTGTTTATGTAAATTAAAACACCAGTACCATATATTTTCCACAGATACACATAAATAAATAAACACATGAACGGTGGTTTGGAAAGACACACATTAAATACAGAAGAGTGGTGCCTATGTGGGGTGGGGAAGGATGGGATTGGTGATGAAGGGGACAAAACAAAATAATAAAAGGACCTTGCATGGATCAATGATGATATAGTGTGCTAAGAACTGAGGAATATGGTCAGCTCAATTCTGTGCACCTGAAGGAATAAGTAAATAAATAGTAAATTAATTGAGCGCCTAGGGAGTAGGCAGCTGGGTAGACCCCCAGACTTGGGCTTTTTCTCCATGTCATCCTATCTGAATTTAGTCAAAGCTGAACAAAGTTCCAGCTGTATACAGTGGAAACTTAAGAACTCCCAGTTCAGACTGACCAGTTCCTCTGAAAGCTATTACATTGCAGGGGGCCATTTCTTAACCCTATTACTTCCATGTTTGACCCCCCCTCCATTCCCAGTTCCTATTTCCATGGTGGTCCAATTTCAGAAAGACTTTATTTGAATTTTGGGGTGGGGACTGTATCTTGAGACATTTGGAAGAGATTGGGTTCTAAACTATCCTCTCCTCACCTGGTGCTCAGAAGCTGGGCCAAGGGAAGACAATCTTATGAGATGGGAATTGACCCTCTTGACACATACATACATAAAAAATTTCAGGTTCCATCTCCTAAGCACTCTATTTCCTGCTGCAGGCACATACTAAGTTTTGTCTCCTCTCCTCCTTTGTGTGTCTCCTCGTCATGTGTGTGTGTGTGTGTGTCTGTGTGTGTGTGCACGTGCATATACTCCATTTCCTCATATATAGGTATGTTTACATATGTGTACCAGGCAAGTTTTCCTCAGGGTTTCCTGTCCACACACAGTCACACAGACACACACTGTCTCACTCAATCATACCTCCTCACATGTGATCATATACAGATAGGACACACAGACACACACAGGAACGAGAGAGAGAGAGAGAGAGAGAGAGAGAGAGAGAGAGACAGAGACAGAGACAGAGACAGAGACAGAGACAGACAGAGAGAGAGAGAGAGAGAGAGAGAGAGAGAGAGAACATCCAATATAACATTGTTCATTTTAGTTTTTCCATTTACAAAATCCAATGATGAATCCAGGCAGTTAGAAAAAGGAAATGGAGGAAACCCTCCTGAGTCTACCCTATTTGCCCTCCCACCTTGGTCTTTTCACCCCTGCCCTCAGAAAGGCATTCCTATCATCATCACTGAGAGAACAGCCCCACCCACCCCCACACATTCCCAGCCTCTCAGCTACTCTGACCTGCTTTTCCAGGGCCACTCCAAAACTAGGCTCACCAATATCTGTCTAGAGCACCCCCTTCATTGCTTTTAGATCAAGGCTTCCTCAGTTTAAGGGCTGGGGTAGAAGTGGAGTTTAGGACAGGAGTTTATAAGGAAAGAAAGGGGATGGAGAGATCACTGCCCCAAACTTAGGCAAAGAGTTCCGACTTGGCTCACCATTCTACAGAAGTGGCCTTGAAGTAAGCCCGGAGTGGTCTCTGTCCATGGAAAAGAGGCTTGGGACCTTCCAACTGTGGAATTTGGATGTAGTCTGCTCCACTTTGGGTATAGGTAAGAGTGGGGGGAGGAGGAACTGCAGGGAAGGATGTTTGGGGGGCCTGTGGGGGTGGGGGACAAAAAGAGGTCAGGCAGAAATAGACTCAAATTTACGGTGCCTTGAAGTTTGTGTCACTATTGGTTACCAAGCCCCCCAAATTTTCATTTTCAGAATAGTTTGAACCCAAGAAACAACTGTGAATTGTGGGACTGAATTTAGCTCTGACCCCAGGCTCTGGAGCCCAGCCACTCTGGAGAGTTCAGCCATCTCCCTATACTTCCATGGATGACTTCCCCTGTCAGCATATATCCACGTCATCCCTGGGAGGGACAAGTGGATGTACAGTCCTAGGAAGAAAGGATAGGGGATCCAAGAGAAAGCTTGAGAGAGTATAGCTAAGTTTGGTGTATTTTGGTTGAGGAGCTCATCTACTATTCGGCTTTTCATCTAACCTGGGCACATCATGGAGGCCCTGCTCTGTATGCTCTTGGCTTCTCAAACAGAGCCTCAAGAAACACCTGCAAAATCTGGACACAGTAGGGAGGGATAGGAGACCAGGCTTGGGATCAAGGTTAGCCAAAAAACAACATCGCACACAACACAGCAATTTAAACATCCTTGCTCCCCAGGAGGGCAGCACCCCATTTGGTCCCTTTTGTGTGAAGCCTTAAGTCAGTATTTCCTGAACATCCAGGTCTTGCTAAGGGACTTAGAATGGGAGCCAAGGGGGCAAGAAGTCGCTGGAAATCTATTTTACAGGAGAAATTTCCCGTTTCTTGACAATGTCAAAGGGGGCATGTAAGCAAGAAAGCCTGTGTCCTCAACTGTTATTGTTAAAAACCCTGCGTTTTCAGTTTGTTTTCTTTTACTGAATCGTCCCTTCAGAAAGATAGGAGAGGGGAGAGGGATAGAGAGGCAGGGAGGGCACGGGGAAATGAGATTGTAGAAGTGGAGGTGGCTGCAGGACAAGCCCCACAAAACTAGAAACGCCTCTTTCCCAGTTCCTCACCCAGTCCCACCCCTAGGGAGGTGTTGACAAAATGCCTCAGTTATGGATGGTTTGAGAGCCTGGGCTGAAGTTCAAAAAAGAAGGCTTCTGTGTGGGTCCTACTCTTCCCCTGCTCTTGATCCCAGTACGGTCATCATGACTTTCTCCCTGCCTATCACCTACTGGCTTGCTTCACATGACACAGTAGGGTTCCCTGGGAGCTGGGGCAGCTCCTGTGCCCCAGCAAGGGGCATGAGTCCTCAGGCACTTCTTGAGGTCCTTGTTAAGCAGGAAGCAGACGATTGGGTTGACAGCAGCCTGGGCGAAGCTCATCCAAACAGCAGTGGCCAGGTAGCGGTGGGGCACAGCGCAGGCTTTCACAAACACTCGCCAGTAGCAGGCCACGATGTATGGTGACCAGAGGAGCAAGAAGAGCAGTGTAATCGCGTAGAACATTCGGCCCAACTGCTTTTCACCCTTGACCTCGTCCATGCCCAGTAACCGCCGGCTAGCTGCATGCCCATTCTGCCGGATACCCAACAGAGTTGGTGGCATGGGCCCACGGCCAAAGCCAGCGATCCAGTTGGCAGCAGCCTGGCCGGTAGCCCCAGGGCCATGGAATGTCCAGTTTTGGCTGATGGCTGGCACCATCTGCACTGGCTTCATCTTGCGGTGACGATACTCGAAGAGTAGCAGCTTGCCATAGACAGCATGCGTGGCTGCCATGAGCACAGCCAACATAAGCATAAAGCCCAGTGTGTCATTTGCTTTGAAGTAGCGATGCTCAAAGATGCACTGGTCTTCCTCTCGGATAAACTTGTAGGTGCCCACATCAAAGACAGGTGGGAAAGCCATGGCCACAGACAAGGTCCAGGCCATGCAGATGACAGCTGCGCATGTCCAGAGTGTCATGCGCTTGGCATAGAAGCGGTGGTGGGCGATGGCCATGTAGCGGGTGACGCTGATGCAGAACAGCATGAAGGCCGCATGGAAGCAAAAGAGCACAGCCATAAAGGCCACAATCTTACAGCTGAGTGCACTGAAGGTCCATGAGGAGCCATGGCGCACAGAAGCCAGTACAAAGGGGAAGCAGATGGCAGAGCGTATGCCATCAGCTAGGCACAGGTCCAGCAGAAAGTAGTAAGGAGCCTTGTGCAGGGCACGCTCCTTGAGCACCAGCAGGGATAAGATGGCATTGCCTGCCAGGCTTACACACATGATCAGTCCCAGCAGCACCAGCTTCACATAAGCCGATGCTGATGGCAGGGACAGTGCGCCGCTCACCTCCTCAGGCTCTCCGGTGGTGTTGGCCATACTGAGGGGCAAGGGCTACCTCCAACCCTAGGGGGTCGGCCAGTCCAGTATTTGATGGGCCCTGGGGGACTCCATCAGTTGTCTTGCTGAGCTACACCTGCAAATGGGGACAAATAGAGGGGGAGAGAAACAGAGATGAAGATAGGAGACAGAGAAGAATGCAGAGACAGAGTGGTAAATAACGAGATTGAAAAATGGAGACAAGGATATAAATGGATAGAAAACAACACAGAAATGGAACATGATAGGGGAAAGGAGAAACATGAGAAAGAAACAGAGAGGGCAGGTTAGTGTGGCTATGAACCTTCCCGCTGACTCCCCAGACATCCCTGCTCCTAGACCTCCCAATGTGCTCAGATACCTCTTTCTTTCTCCACTGGTGGGTCTGCAGGGTTGAGATGTTGGCCCAACTCTTCCTCCCTTCTACAAACCCTAAAGTTGTATTCAAGCAAAGCGTTTTATTTATTTTTTTACTGTTACCCATAATCCAGTACACATGTGCCTCAAACTAAAAGTTTTACACAGTACTAATCCTAATTGTGATATACTTATTCATTTCTGTTGTATTTCATGTTCTGGTTTGTTAAACTATTGACAGCTGCTCATTGGATTTCTTTCTATCTTTCACTCTCTCCCATCCCCCCCCACCATCTTACTTTATTTCTTCATCTGTCTTTTCCTTTTGCTATACTGGGGATTGAATTTAGGACCTCAGGCCTGGTAGGCAAGAGGTCTACCAATGAGCTATATCCCTAAACCTTTTAAAAATTTTACTATCTAAACCTTTAATTTTGTGCTGGGTGGTGGTGGCACACACCTTTAATTCCAGCACTCGGGAGGCAGAAGCAAGTGGATCTCTGTGAGTTCCAGGATAGGTTCCCAATCTACAGAGAAACCCTGTCTCGAAAAACCAACCAACCAACCACCCAATCAAACAACACCCCCCCAAACAACAACAACAACAAAAAACCCCTTTTAATTTTGTAATAGATTCTTGTGAAGTTGACTGGGATGGCTATGAACATTTTACCCAGCCCACACAGGTCTTGAACTTGGGATCATCCTGCCTCAGACTTCCATGTGCTAGGATTACAGCTTTATGCCACTGTGCCCAGCAAAATATTTTTATTTGTGTCAGGAATGTGTGTAACATGCTCTATGAGCAGTGAGAAGACTAGTGTTATTTCTTTCTTTCTTTCTTTCTTTTTTTTTTTTTTTTGGTTTTACGAGGCAGGGTTTCTCTGTATTGTTTTGGAGGCGTCCGTCCAGCCCGGCCTCGAACTCACAAAGATCCGCCTGCCTCTGCCTCCCGAGTGCTGGGATTAAAGGCGTGCGCTACCACCGCCCGGCGAGAAGACTAGTGTTAATGGTGCATTTCAGAGATACAGAGGTAAGAGGTGAAGTCACAGAAGACCAAATGTTGTAGTGCTGTGGATCACGATAGGCCTGTGGCTTTTGTTTTGTGTGAATATATATGAATGTGAAAATGCAAATATGTTTGTTGCGTTGCTTCATTGAGAAAAACATTCCTTTATTTTAGGTCATTCACTGTTTCAGGCACTGAGGATGCAGTTGTGAATCAGACAGATGAAAGATTCCTACTCTAGCACTTGGGAGGCAGAGGTAGGGTAATCTCTGAGTTCAAGACCATCCTGGTCTACAGAATGAGTTTCAGGACAGCTAGAGCCAGAGAAACCCTGTATCACAAACAAACAAACGAACGAACGAACGAACGAACGAACAAAGAAACAAAGAAGCCAAAAGAGAAAAAAAGAAATAGTCCTAGTTTTGTGTAGTTGACAAATTAGGTAATAAGAAGAGACATGGGTGAAGTTAATAGCAGGTGATGACAATATTCTGAAATATAACCATGAAGTAGGGGAGGAGGATTTAAATGTCAGATGAGGATCTGGGTTGGGAGAGCTTCACAAAGGAGAAGTTATCTAAGCAAACAGGCTGTTTAGGTGTAGAGGACTCTAGGCAGGAAGAACAGTCAGAACAAAGGCTCTGACATGGAGCTACACTGGAGCCAAGAAGCCATGCTGGCTGGAACATTGCACAAAGGGCAAACCTTGGGCGGTGAACTCAGAGTATCAGCAAGGACGTATGGAGGCTATAGTAAGGGCTCTGATTCACAATTACTTGGAGGGTTTTGAACAGAGGAAAGATGTGATTCGCATTCAGGGTTGAATACAATCCTACTTGTTGGTGTGAGAACAGGTATGTTCCATGAAGGTAGGAGGGAGTAGGGTAGGGAGATTAGTGAGTCTTCAGTAGTAATGCAGGTAAGAGATCACAGCATCCCCATACTCCTTTCCCTTTTCACCCGAATCTCTCTCTTCTAACTGTATCTTTTACTTTTCAAATCCACATTATTACCTGCCTCATACTATTAACAGAAGCCCCATAAGGGCAGGGTAGGTTCCCTCCCCTCCAAAAGATCACTATCATGCACACAGTAGGTTCTTGGTGAAAAGATGCCAAGGGCTCCATGGAAATATCTACACTGCAAGCACAGCCTGGGGCGCAGGCTGGCAATGTGGGGCCAGGACAAAGTGACAACATTTCCCGGAGGGAAGGGAGCTGGGCTGGGCCACATGAAACGGAAGCAGGAGAGGCTGAGCATTACAGTTGGGGCTGGTGCTGGCGTGGGGGGTACGCTAGGGAGATGAGTGTTGAAGTGGATGCCTTTTTACCAACGCCTTCCTTGTGAAGTTGTCCCCTTTACGTTGTTTTCTAGCTCAACAGAGTCTGGTGTTACAGTAAAAGCAGTAATTCTTTTTGACATCACTAAGAAGTCTCATAGCCAATGACCTGCTGAAATGAGAGCATGCTAGGGCAGGGGTTGGAAAGAAATGCAGACAGTCGGGTCTCTTTCAGTCCCTCAAGGTCTGATGTCTTCTACCCTTCCCAGGACTGCAGACTCTCTCTGCTGAGTGTGTGCAAAGGTACACACACACACACACACACACACACACACACACACACACACACACACACACACACACACACACACCTTAGCCTTGAGGGTGAGTAAAGGTTAGGCATAGAGACAGACTAAGTGTAAGAGGCAGTCAGATACACAGGCAGATGACAAAGAAAGAGACATGTTTGCTACAGGCAGATGGTGACATAGGAGAAGGAAAGACAGAAAAACAGAAAAAAGGTCAGGAGAACAGATAGATATGGAGAAAGAGGAGAGGAAGAGTGACTTAAAAGAGACATACAGATAACAGAGAAACAGTGAATGGTAAAGAGGAGACAAAAGGTGGTTAAGGATAACAGCAGAGGGAAAACACATCTAGAACACAGCTCCTGTAAATATGGAACTCCTGTAACTCCCTATGGGATTGCATAAGTGAAGGTGAGGGTTTTGAGAAATTTTACAAAATTTCTGGATGTGTAATGACCAAAAATGAATTCAAAAATCAAAGGTATGATGAATCCCACATATTTCTGGCAGCAGTTGCTCATGTTACATCATACATACAACGCTACTGAAGCAGTGGTTCTGAGCACACAGCACGCACACTTTGCACTGAACATGCCACCAAAATCCCCATGACAACAAATGCTATCTGAAATACCTCAGCTCAGACTTGACACTACTGTATGCTATGAACTGCAATGCTTTTGTTGTGTATACAATTTTTCTTTTATAAAACATAATGGTTTTAAGTACAGAAAATAAAACTTTAACAGTTTCCTACTATCATATAAACATTAAATTAGCATGCCATTATATTGTATTGTATTAGAATGTTTGATTTAAAAAAAACTTGCCATTTCAGGTGACTCTCTGTGAGTTCAAGGACAGCCTGGTCTATGTAGAAAGTTCCAGGGCAGCTAGAGCTACATAGATCCTGTCTCAAAAACCTTAAAAAATAGAATATTAAAAATGAAAGAAGTTTGCCATTTGGGTTGCTGAATTGAGTGTCATAAAAACCATTAGATGAATTTTGACTTGGGAATAGGACAGAATTTCCAACAATTTTTGAAATGTCCCCAACCATACTTCTACCATTTTGCATTGCATGTTTATGTGAAGTGGGGTTCTCAGTATTGACAGTTATAAAATCAAAATACCAGTCAAGATTTTTTTTTGAGACAGGGTTTCTCTGTGTAACAGCTCTGGCTGTCCTGGAACTTGTTCTGTAGACCTGGCTGGCCTCAAACTCATTGAGATCCACCAGCTTCTGCCTCCCAGGGTGCTGAAACTAAAGGCATGCACTACCAAAGCCCAGCACCAGTCAACTCTTAAAAACATTGAGGATGCCTTATATGTTGCAGTAAAAGAAAAGATTTAATTCTTTGTGTTAAAAAAGCACATCTATCTCAGTATGCAAATTTACTTTTGTTTTTATGAATAGTAAAATTATATACATGCCTGAGAATTGCTTCAGATAAATTTGTTAATTAATAGTAAATATTTGATTTGTATACTTATTTCCTATAACTATATACCTGGGGGAGCATAAAAAAGCTCTTAGGTGAAAAGGGTTATAAGTAGAAAAAACATAAGGAACCCTGATCTAGAAGACTAGGGAGAGATAAAAGGGCAGAGAGTAACATGCAGACACAGAGACAAAGCACGTAAACATGTATGGGGAGACAAACTAAGACTGATATTATATGTGTAGCTTAGGGTCTCAGTGAAAACAAATGGTAAAGCTAAAACCAACCCCTTCAGAACAAACAACCAACAAAACCCCTCAAATACAGCAAGCAAACAAAGCTCCGGTGTTGCTGGGAAAGCTTAAAGAGGCTGCATAAATGAGGTCAGGTGCTCCTAAGCACACTCTGGCAGCAGCTGAGGCCCAGTCCAGGCAAAAGATAAGTGTGCGTGCACAGCGACTACCTACTGACAGGTGTCTGAAAACACAGCCTCATGGACAGCAGTTTTCGTGTGTGTGCAACACACACACACACACACACACACACACACACACACACACACACACACACAGTGCTTGCACAGATGGAGGGCTTGTACCTAGTCATAGCATAGGGCTTTGTTCATTACAAAGGCATTACTGCCCCCTAGGGGACATTTTGGAAATTTACAGGAACTTGGGTGGGGCTGGGGGAGGAGGGGGT